CTAAAAAATAACACATGATGTAATAGAGTTAAAATGCTAAAGGATTTTCATGCTATTAAGAGCTGTTTAGTTCTCCAAACATATCCCCTAATTGCCATAAAAGAAATGACATATATTACTTCTCTGCTCAAATACTCAACAATTAGCTACCTTTTGCAGACTAACAAGACATCCCTAGTTTAAATAATAGCTATTTGGGACTAGGTTTTTGAGTACAATATCTGGAAAGCAATTGATTCATCTAACCAACGGTCTCTGTAGCATGTGGAGTTAGCCAGAGTGTCTGATTACAGTAAAAAGACATTCCAAGACGGGTTTTCACTCAAACATGACAGCTCATGATGTCTGGCACCCCACCGGCATATAGAATATCATATGTCAGGGTTTCTTCATGTGACTGACTTTCACTATGATGTCTTAAGGTGAACCTTATTCCGTGGCAGCTAGCATCCAAGGAGAATGTAGGCACTGTAAGGTCCTTTAAGAGGTGTTGTATTACTGCCGCATGCACTATGATTAAAGCAATTCCAGAATCCACCCAAGGATGTGTGGGTAGGGAAGATAGAATCTACCTCTGATAAGGGAGTGGAAAAATGACACATCAAGGAGCATGAAGAGCAGGAGATACTTCTTTGGAAAATGCAATCTGTCAAAGATAGATTGAAAGGCTCATTTGAAGTCACTCCATGATTTAGTTTCCTGTGACTCTTGTGAACTGAAAACCTTCTCAAAGTATGTATTTTGCTTCTATCAGTCCTCATGTTTTTATTTCTTGTTATTTGTAACTTACTCTATTGTACTTCCTGTTTTCTGCATTTGGACACTTAGACCTTTTTCAAGCCTTATGTCTTGTCTTCTCACCTTAGCTCTTAGTTACTACAGCCTTTGTCTCTCACCAGAGGACACCAGACCTCAGTCTACTGCTTGTTGTTTTAAATTTCTATTATCATTAGTGTCTCAACCCCTAGTATTTCTCTAGAGTTGATGTGGAAAAAAATGAAGAAGCTTAGATTAATTCATCAGCTTGAAAGAACCTGTAGACTAAAGTGTGCTTCCCATTTATCTATCTATCTATCTATCTATCTATCTATTTATTTTTCATGTATCTATTTACTTATTGTGTATGTGTATATATGTTTAGGAATTTAACTTAAGGTCTTAGGTGTATTGGGGAAGCACTCTACCAATGAGATACATCTTCAACCCTAAAAAAATACATTTTGGGTCAACATTTACCATTCTCCAGACAACTTTTTTTCCATGAACAAAGTGGTATTTCCAGGCAATATTTTCCAATGTCTATATGGATGGTAAACTTATTTATCCTATTTCCTCAGGAAAAAGATAACTTAGGTTACAATGATTCTTGGGGTATAACTCAGTGGCAGAGCATTACCTAGCACATGAAAGAACTGGGTTCAATCTCCAGAAGTTATAAATTTGATTTTATAAGTTTACATATAAACACATTTGCACATAAAACTAAACTTTAATAAATTCTTCGAAAACACTATGTGCTTTCATTTCTTGAAGCAGATTACATCAATTATTTCCATCTATGCAATAAAAGTCAGTGAAACCAGGGAAGGTATATTCCAAACTGAATGTTGTAAGGGCAGCAAATGACACAGTTAGCTGTATAAGTGCTTTATATGGCCCTAGAATTTTAAGTCTAGATGCTGTCCAAAAAGTATTGGCATCTGTGGTCTAACTTGCAGAATGACCTTCTCTCTTTTTAGAAAGAACCCAGCATAAGCTATGGATGATTAAACTACTACTGTCTTTATTGTGAACAGAATTATACAATGCATTTTCTCTAAGTCTACTGCCCCTATGCATATCCAATGACTAAATATGTAACTTAATGGATTTTGTTTTTCTCTTTCAACACTGCAATTCACCACTTACACATACAACACCAAATATAAAATTTCAATCAAAAGCATTTGTGGTCCACCTGATAGTTTCAATAATTATACCTTTCATAGAAGAAAGATGAACAATAAATCTGTTACCTATCTCCTTTACAGTCCAAGAGGTCTGAAGTTAGAAAATATAGTGATAGTCTACATATGAAAAATAGAAACTGAGCCGGGCGGTGGTGGCACACGCCTTTAATCTCAGCACTCGGGAGGCAGAGACAGGCAGATCTCTCTGAGTTTGAGGCCGGGCTGGACCAACAGCCTCCAAAACAATACAGAGAAACCCTGTCTCATAAAACCAAAAAAAAAAAAAAAAGAAACTGGCTGGGCGATGGTGGTACATGCTTTAATCGCAGCACTTGGGAGGCAGAGGCAGACAAATCTATGTGAGTTTGAGGCCAGTCTTGTCTACAGAGTGAGTGTCAGGACAGGCTCCAAAGCTACACAGAGAAACCCTGTCTCAAAACAAAGGAAGGAAGGAAGGGAGAGAGAGAGACCCTTTCAAACAATTAAAAAAAAAGGTCAACAACAACAACCACAAAAAAGCAAAAACTAGAACCTAGAATTCAAGTTAATTTGCCAGCTAAACGTTACTATGAAGCTGGAGCTCATATCTCAGATTCTGAGTTTGTTTTGTATGTTAGTCTCTGTCATGCACCAAGGCAGTCAGGGAAAGAGAATAGAAAGTTGGATGGATCCAGGAAAGAAAAACAAATTAGAAGAGACACAAGAAGAAAAGTTGGTGTTTAAGGAACCTCTCCCAAACACATATTTCTATATTAAAACATTCAAATATACTGTGATCAAAGAATGTATCTTTTAGACTGTTACTCCTGTAAAAAACACCATATCATTACCTAGCCCTAAGAAACAAGGTTTAATATAACTTTACAATTTTAGTAGCTAAGCAGTATTTCTCATTATACAATATTTTAATTCACATCTAAATATGAGAGACTGGAACAGTCCTGATGACCTATCCTTTCTGAATAACTTCAGTAATGTAAATCTTTGCTTTTGTTTTAGAAAGTGGTGACTCATTATGTATGCAGAAATAGAGAGATCCTTTCATGGATGAATGCTTTTCTTCATTCCCTACCGTTGAATATGTAAAAGCAAAGGGATTTACAAAACCTTGTTGCAATTCATATCTGCAGACACAAATAACACCACCCCCAGTTACTGTTCATGTTGCACCCTTGAAAGAAAATGTTCAACACTGGTGTTAATATCTAGAGAAGGAAAGAAAAGACTTGGCCTTACCACCCTGAATGCATCCCATCTGATCTCATCATGGAAGTTAAGAGGGGTCCAGCCTGGTTAAAACATGGAGGGAAGAAAGGAAGAGAAAGAAGCAGACAGAAATTGCACATCAGGAAAGAAAGATGAAGAAAACAAAAGAGAAATACATTTAATACGTATGCTGAAAACACATCTATGGAGATGAAAAATGGCCTCATAGAGGTTGAGCAGCTAAGATCTTCATGTGTTCTGGGGGAAATACCATAGAACTGGTTGATGTCTTACAGTTGGTAACAGGATATACTACAGTCAAGTTACCCAACCTCAGCAGCTTATGTACACTAAGAACTGTGGAAGAGCAATCAAGGACCTGTTTCTAAAACAAGATCTTATACCTAGCGGTGCTTGACTTTTAACCTGGCTCTTGTTCTAAAAGATACATACATATTCATAGCATCATTTCACTATAAGATTCTGAAAGGTACAAAGTATAAATACTCTTCTTCTCAAAATGTCCCTGTAATTGATCCAAGAGTACACACACACACACACACACACACACACACACACACACACACACACACACATATATGTATATTTGAAAAACAATATAAACTCTCTGAGTATACTCAAATTCAGGAGAAATGAGTTTAATAGCTTAACCATTTATAACACTACATTAATAATTATCAGAGTTCATTCCGATATTTGTCCAAAGATCTGCTTTTTATTTCTAGTTGACTAGAGGTAAGAATGGAGTGAAAACAAACATAAATAAGGGTATTTTGCAAGAAAAGAAGGAAAAAGAGCCTCTGTTGCAAACATGGATAATCACATGAAAAGCAGATGCACAAATTAGCCCCCAGTGTGACTGTTTGGAAACAGAAATGACCCCCCAAAATAATATGAAACATTTCTACATTTTCTTTAAGAAAACAAGCTTTGTTACTTCGATGCAGTATTTAATTAAAGTCATTTGTTTTATTCACGGGTTCTATTGCTGTGAAGGGATACCATGACCACAGAAACTCTTATAAAGGACAATATTTAATTGTGGTGGCTTGCTAATAGTTTCAAAGGTTCAGCTAATTGTCATCATGGCAGGACATGAATGCATTCAGACAGCCATGGTGCTGGAGAGGTACCTGAAAGTTCTACATCTTGACTCACAGGCAACAGGAAGTGATCTGTCTCACTGGACATAGCTTGAGCATGCAAGTTATCAAAGCCTACCTCCACAGTGACACACTTCCTCCAACAAGACCACACCTACTCCCACAAGGTCACACCTTTTAATAGAGCTATTCCCTCTGCTGGCATTTTCTTTCAAACCACCACATCATCTAACCTATATGAGTGTGCATACACCACATTATTGGCAGCTTGGAACCCGAAACAGTATGATGTGTGATGAAAAGAGGTTACAAAGAGAGAAGCTGTGAGTGACTTCTATGAACAACCATGTGACAATTGTGTATAGTATACTGTTTGATGAGCTTAGATATCTTTTTGTTTCATAAAAGATAGTCTATGAGTAGTCTATGAGTACATATTTGTGCATAATGTCTGACAGCATGAATATAATTGGCATCCACCTAAAGTTGCTTTAGAAGAAAGACACGGAAAACTAAAAGTTCATGTGCAGCATAATAAAGAACCACTGTAAATTAGTGTACATGACTTTAGATACAAGAGCATCATAGTTCCATAATTCTTGAGTCTTCTCAAGCATGATAAAGTAATATTGGGTGTGTATTTGGGCAGAAAGTGAGGTTTAAACATTTGTGAGTTTCCTTCAATTTCCAAGATTTTATGTTATAGATACTTAGAACTTACCCAAATACTTTGGATAAAAATAATCCTAGAAAGAAAACAAAAAAATAGATATTAGCAAACTCAAATTTCACAATAGAGTTAAAGATTAATTTTCCAATTTGTTTTGATATGAATATGGGAATGGCCTACATGTTGTATGTTTTCACATTTCTAATTTTTTTATATGAAAATACTTGAAGAATAGATAACCAATACTTGAGTGGTATACATATACATACATATATACACATGTGTGTATGCATATATATATGTATATGCTTAAAACACTACTGAACAATTAAATAACATTTTAAAGCTTCTAATTTGATCTGATTGTACTTAAAGTGATAACTATAGCAACGTATTCCCTCTTTTATAATCCTTTAATTTTTTCGTGGCAACCTGGTCTATATATAGTTCGAAGCCAGCCTGGTCTATAGAGCGGGTTCCAGGACAGGCTCCAAAGCTATATAGAGAAGCCCTGTCTCAAAAACAAACAAACAAAAGAGGATTGTAGGCAGACCTGTAGGGAATTTTCTTAATGAGTGATCGATGGGGGGGCCCAGACCATTGTAGGTGATAGTACTTTTTTGTCCCAATTCTAGATAGTTTAAAAATTAACTGTTGCATACTTGGCAAAAATTTCTTCTTTGAACATATCAGAACACACAGAGATAAAAGGAGCCACAAGCATAGCCACAGACCCCAAGTAGCTACAGTTGGGGACCAGTTTTCTAACTATAGACAAAGAGTTCTTGCTCATTATCGCTCAGCTAATGTCATGGTGCTGGGAGCTGTGGCTAGGGCAGGGAAGAACCTTGTGTGTGTCATCCCCCTCTTTTACTCCAGATTATATAATTCAGCCCAGGTATAACATCTGAGGAAACCCTAAATGGTGTTCCATGGAGATGCTCAAGTTCATGCTCACAGTGCTTCTTGAAGATATTAATGCTACTCCTGATAGTCGCAAGCGTGATATAAATCACCCTCTCCTGAAATATAGAATGGACAATGAGTCCCATGTGACTGTCTTTAGGGTATGTTTGGCAAGTGGGAAACTTGGAAATTTTTATACACTAATGATTGCTGCTGAATATCGGTGGCCTTACAGAACGGCATATAGTCAGCATACATGACGCTGTAATAACTAATCTGAGTTGGGTGGCTCCATCTCTATCTAGAGCCTCTTAAAGATTAATGGTGAGATTATGGAAGGTGGTGCACACCAGTCTATATCACAGTACTGGAGGGTGAAGCAGGGCAGGTGGATAGTCAGTTCCTTGTAGTTGGGGCTACAGAGTAAGAGATTGTCTTAAACACAATCAATCAACCAAAACAAAACAAAAGCATAGTGACAATGCCAGCACATATGGTCACTTACACTTCAGTTGCATAGTCTCTTGAACCCTCAAGGCTACCAAATTTTGGTTAGGATAATAAAATAGTTACAAATGATGAAATCAATACTAGTTGTGGATAGTGAGACTTAAGGGAAATAGAGTTTGGCTGGAGCGCCAGTCATTGGCAGCCTGCCTGAAATATCAGTGGCAACACATGAAAAAAATGATCTCCAAAATCGTTAGCTTGCAAACGGAAGCAAGGAAGCTCAAGCTGGCAATGTTCCGACTGTGACTATGCATATCTAAGTGTGGACTTGATCATTTCCGTGAATTCTTACCGTTTCGGGGTTGTTTTCAAAGACTTCCCTGGCTTCCTCTTTATTGCAGAGTTCTTCGATGCATTCCCTTTCAAGATTGCCCTTTTTAGCTTCCTCGAGCATGCTGTTTGCACGGCGCTTCCTTACCAGGACTTGTGAGGCATGTTCTTTTGACAAAACTGTAGGAAACATAAGCTTATATAAGTCAAAAAAATCTTCATTTTTTCCCTAAGATATATCATCTTATTAAACAATTAAGAGTGAGATAATTTTCTTTGTGATATTAAAGCTGTAGCTCAGAAAATATGTAGCTATGTTAAGTCCTTTGGTTAACAATGCCCCCAGCAGGCTCAGTGAATGTCTGTGCAGCTAGCTACAGCTTTTTTATATGAGCTATACAAATTATCCAGTTCAGGCTTGAGGTCAAACACACTAGATGATAGTGGTTTTTTTTTTTCCTACACCATGCTCAAATGAGGTGCCAAAAACCACTGACACCACCTTTAAAGCAGGAGTAGCAAATTTTCTCATTTTAATGGAAAACTTTTTGAATGTCTATGGAAATAAAGAAATAGAGATGTGAAGTCCAACCAGCCATGTGAGAACTAAGTCAACCGAAGCTTCATATGCATGGTAAAATAAAAATCTGGGGGGGGGGAGGAAATTTTCTAAGCATACGTAGAAGGCAAAGAGAAAAGAAAAATAACTTTGATTACATAAAAGTTTTAAACAGGTGAACAACAACAGAAACTTATGTAGCCATCTTCAGTACTAAGTTTGGAGGAAACTACTCTCAGTGTATAGAATAGAAAACTGCAATCAGAGTTTTTAAGTCATTTTTGATAATTATAAAAGGCAATAATAAAAGAGTACATTTGCAAGGTTGTATACAAAAATCACTGAATACAAACAATCTAAAGAAACTACTACAAGCATTGTTATAAGAGCAAAAATTAGAAATAATACTGACATATGAGGAGGAATAGCTTGAAAAATAATAAGTTGCAATACCTGTACTGAGGATTTCATGGAAGTTAAGAAGGTAGATACTCAGGTAAATATCTCCAACATAAAAATTGAAATGTTTTAGAATTCCAACCCTCAGTATAAACTTTTATACATACATACACGTACACAAACAGCAGCTCAAATAGAAAACATATTATGTGAACCAAAATATAGAAAATACTTTGAAAATATTCTTAAACTGCCAGTAGCAACTACATTTGAAAAAAATACTGAAAAACATGAACTTTTATATGTTAAATGAAATGTAGTTTTTAATAAAATTTTTATGATTTTTGAAAAAAAATTTAAAAGCAAAAATAAAATCTGTAACTTTTTTAGATTTTGTGCATAAATAATTCATTTTACTACAAAGAGAAGCAATTCTATAAACAGGTTTGTTTCATGCCCATCTTGTTACCTGTAATAAAGAACAGATCATCAAAAGCTTGACAAAAGGGGGTAAAAGGGCAGATCAATAAGCAGTCTAGCTGGACAACTGAAACTCAGAAGCCAGACAAGTTAAAGGAATAGCAGGATACACCACCACCTTAATAGACTAGCATACTCCATAACCGCATTCAAATATCTGTCCTTCACCCATCATCAAAGAAACTCCTCCTTCTCGTTGCAACACACAGAGACCATAACGGAAAGCCACAAATAATCAAAATGCAGATATGTGGAGCCCAGTCCCAATGGATACACACACAAAACAACTTCAACAGCTAAGACCCAGACAACAATGTGAAACAGAATGTGGAAAGATTGTAAGAGTCAGAGGATCAGGGAGTTTATTGTGAGACTGTGTCTCCTAGCAATGCCAGGAGCTATATCCATAAAACCTCATCAGCATGACTACCTAAAAATGAGCTGAACAAGGTCAACCATAGACAGGGGAAAGACCAAGAAACCTCAAACTTAAACAAAAAACTACAGTCAATGAAGGAATGCTAAGCATAACACAAATACTCGGCCCCCTCAAAGAGCAAATGTTTATCCACTGCCAAATGATCAGCACTGAAGACATACATACAAGTTACATTATACAAATTGAACTGGTTATACTTAGAAATATATAGGGATATACATGTAGCAATATTTCATTTAAAAGGGGCCATAACATTGAAAGAGAGGAGTACATGGGAGGGTCTGGAGGGAGGAAACAAAGGTAAATGATATTATACATAAAATAAGTGCATAAATAATTCTGCTTTAGGTCTCTTCTTTTCCGGAAGAGAAATGTAAATGCAACTGCTAAGTAAATAGTCTGGGTTGTATTTATAACTCTTATCTCTTTCCATTTCATTGCCACTCATTAAAAGATAAAGATTCAAACAAGACTTTGTGTGCATAAAGGATAACGATGAACGTGCTACCTGCCAAGTGGATTACTGACTGATAAATGGCAGCACTGTCAATACCCATGTCCTACATGAGCAGCTGTTTCACTACTTGGAGGTGTTTAAGCATGCTATTTGTAATAAATATAGCAAAATAATATGGTATTCCTGAACTTCAAATAAATATATAATTCTGTCTGAGGAAAATAGTAATATTTTCTCAGAACAATGAAAATGTTGACTTGATAATGGCAATAACAACAAAAAAAATCAAGGCTAACTACATTTAAAAGACATACCATACACTTCCCAGCAATTCTTCCACTAACTTGTGGACCAAGCAACAAGACGGTTCAGTGGGTAAGAATATTTTATACGTATGTCTGATTTGATTTGACCTGACTTTGACCATAAGAATCTACAGAAAGGTAGAAGGAGAGAAGCAACTCCACAACGTTGTAATCTGTTCTTAACATGTGTCTGTGGCATGCACACACACACACACACACACACACACACACACACACACACCATAGCACTCATATACACACAATTTTTCTAAAAGAATACTGATCTTGGACTCAGCGAATATCACAGAAGATGGGGCAGAAAGAATATAAGAATGTAACCTTGGGGAGAAGGGCTGCAAATGTTGTCTTAGGAGCATGACATAACCAAGTCACTCATGGATGTACCACAAAAAGAGTTGTCAATAGAGGATCTTGTTCTATGTGACAATCCAAGGGAACAATTGACACTTGAGCTGTGCTAACTTGCAAAATACATCACAGCTGGCTTGTTGACTGTAGAGGGGCTTGGGAGTTTCCACAGCACCTCTTGTATGTGATTCCACATTGCACTTGGTCTTGGAAAAAAGCTAGAGTATATAGGTCTCAAAAACTGAGAAAAGGGGTGGGGCTAAAGGAAAGCTGGTAAACACTTCCTGGTGCAGTCTTTTTGGGGGCTCAGTGAGGCTGATAAACTCATTCATTCTCCTGATAAACGCTAGTGGAATCACGACTCAGTTTGTCCTTAGGACTTCAGGATAGACACAGTTTAAGTATGCCAGGAATAAGGAATTTTTGCACAGATCTACACAGGACTGAGCCCTTAAATATTTAGAGATAGATGCAGGTGGGGCTCATTGGACAATTACGACCAGGGAAAAGACGTCATTGTTTTTCCCTGAAGTTACTGGTGATGCTTCAGTACATAGCTCCTCATCCATGTTCGCCTGGGCAGTCCTAGTTAAACCCAGTGAGTGATGGAGAGAAGCAAGAAAGTCATGAAAGTGGAATGGAAACTTGCTGGGAGAAAGGGGAGAGGGTGTTTGTGGAATTGAGAGGCAGTAAAGAGAGACTGAGGGATGAGCATAACCAAACTGGTGTGTGTGTGTGTGTGTGTGTGTGTGTGTGTGTGCTTGTATATATGTGTACATATATACAATGAAATTGTGGAAGAATAAACTAATTTAGAAATGCCAAGTTCACCAATGAAGAGTTTGATATTAATATTTAAAGAAGAGCATGGCTGAAGTGGTTTCCCAGCAACCTCCAAGTCTTTCCATCCAAAACCCATTCAACAGTCAGGAGTAGATGACAGGTGGAGGAGCATCCAACTTCTAGAAGGGCTCATGCAAAGCTCTTCCAGTTTGTGCTTTGTCTTTAGCAAAGATGGCTGTCCATTCTTTATTCCAAAAGCTTGTTTCTCGTTTAGGTTTGCCTTCTGTCCCTTTCTCTGAGTATTTTTTATTGGGCATACTAAGAATGAAAAACTGCTCAAGGAAGAATGTGTGTGAGAGGAGAATCTTGGCAGTGTTCATTCTGTGTGTTTTGATACAGTGTTGCATGCAAGATGGAAATGCCTTTTCACTAGACAAACAGAACAGCCGCTTGACACTTTGACATGGTACTTCGCATGGCTTAAATAGTTGAAATAGTATGTTTTCCTTAAAGCTTATGAGAAACAAAATCGCATTAGCACACAACAATCTTGAGTCAATAATGATGACTGAATATGAAAAAATTCATTAACAATAATTAGATTTTTTAATGATTTATTTATTTATTGATATGTATACAGTGTTCTGTCTGCATGTATCCCTGCAGATCAGAAGAGGGCACCGGATCTCATTATGGTGGATAGTTGTGAGCCATCATGTGGTTGCTGGGAATTGAACTCAGGACCTCTGGAAGAGCAGCTAGTGCTCTTAACCTCTGAGCCATCTCTCCAGCCCAACAATAATTAGATTTAAACTATAAATATTTCTATTTTTCATAAATATTTCATGAGAGTTCTGTTTGGCAGTGTAGTAAATATTTTGAAAATGTGACTTTTGCAAGAATTAAGAAAAATCCAAAGATAAACATTCTTAAGAATCCTTTTCATCCCTTTAAGTTAATACCAAATTTCAGGAAAGCTTGCCCAGCTTTCGCAAAGCAACACTGCTTATATGCATCTTATACTTTAACCTAGCTGAAGACAGTATTTGCTTTGAATGAGGGGTGTCATACTCGCTTTCTCTAAATTTCACACTTGTTTAATATTTTGTATTATGCTGCTGAGAAAGCATTTCTTCTCATATAACTGTGCCAATGGTAAGACAATGGTTAAAAAACAATTCTGGAAATGTAAACCACATGTTAGGATTTCAAAAAATGGAACCATAATGATAAACATTTTTAGAGGATTAAAGATCACAATATAGGTTTGGTTAGGATTTGAATCTGGGGTGTGAGGAAAAATTACAAAGAAGAAATAGTTATATGTTTTTGTTTTTTGTTTTTCTAGTTTGAAATAGAGGAACCACTGGTGTCATTTAAAAATATAAC